GACTTACAACAAGGTGCACCGTTCTTTATACTATTGAACTTTCATGGGCCCTCAATACAATCCACAACTTTAGAGTAAATAATTTTACGAGGAAAACCCCTCTCATAATAAATGATACAAATGAATTAAGAACTAATGGAGGCTAACACTTCAATGAATAACAATAAATGATATCTCAAGTGTTGGATGAAAAATTTTGATGTATATGACAATTAAAAATTTGATTCAATCAACCAAAATTTTTCAATAAGAAAATGAAGAAGAAATAAATGTAATGTAAGTTCAAAAATCTTCTCAAAATATATATCTCTTTTGATGAATAATTATAATAAATTAAATACAAAGAAAAAGATGAAAAACTTTGATGAATATGATAATTTTAAAAGTTTGATACAATCAATCAAAATTTTCAATATGAAGAAGTCGAAGAAATATATGCAATGTAAAGTTGAAAGATATTTTTCAAAATATATCTCTTTTTTATGAGTAATAGAAATAAGTTGAGTACAAAAAAAAAAAAAAAAGATAAAAAACTTTGATGAAGATGATTGAAGAGTTTGAATCAATCAAAGTTTTTTCTATGAAAAAATAAATGAAATGAATACAAATATAAGTTTAAATAAATCTCTCAAAATATATCTAACTTTGATGCTCTTGAAAGTCTCATTGAAGAATCAAAAGAGTGAGAATATTTATAGAGTTTAAAATGCCAAAATATCTCTAAGTTCGGATGATATGTCTGGTCGATTGTATCTTTGTATGGTAAAAATTAGATGTCATAATGATCAAATTTTGGACTGTTGGAAATCTCCGGTAGATCGCTTCTTTTGGCCGGTCAACCGCCCGACAGTTTCGATTTTTTTACGTTTTAGCCCGTTTGATCCGATTCCAAGGTTTTGAAAGATATGGATTTTTGGAAAGTCTTTTTAACTTACTTTTCAAGATAAAAGATGATTTTCAAGCTCAAATATCATTTTAAAAGTCATTTTTATATTCGATCAAAACATAACATTAGAATTATTTTTAATGCATAGAAAGATTTTGAGATTAAGCACTCATTGTCAATTATCAAAGTTTAGTACTTTACACTTTATTTACGATCTTGACCCCCTTCATGAATCCGATTTGTGATGATAACTTTTGATCTTTTGACGACCATCGATCAATTTTCCATCCTATGCTTTGAAAAACTATAATCACTTGAATTCAATTTGTTAGTAAACATGATTAACTTATTTGTTAAAATCAAAACTTTAAAGTTATAATCAACCATAGGTAGACATGAACAAGGTTCCAACTTTATATATTTGTTGCAGTCCTCCATAACGCGATTTCAAATAAGGAAGCGCTTCATCATTATGTAGAAATGGTTTTGCTTTGGTTGATCCACTTTTAATAGCTTCTTGCAAATAGTTGGGATTAGGGGAGCTGTTTTCTATGATTATTAGAAACAGTGGCAAGTAGTAATGCAAGTAATGTATTTTGTCTGAAGCATCCCCTAATACTGCAAAAATTACATGTAAATTGGCCCACGTTACGTATCGGGTTCATTAGGGCGATTCGAGACGGCCGTGTCAATTGGTATGATTTATTTGTAAGTCAAATACAACAGATTGCCAAAATTTGTTGCCTAACCAGGAACTGTGCAATTTTTTTTCCCTTCTTATCTCACCTGGTGCTTTTACTTTACTTACCAAAAAAGGAGTAAAAGATTCACTGTCTTCTTCATTTAGCTGGATTTTTTTTTTCTCTAATCTTAATCTTGTGTTTGCTAGACTTTATGGCCCTCATAATGAGTAATTGGATTTGATTATATATCTTATGGATATATATCTAAATAACTTGTTGGAGAAGAAATTTCCATTAAGAACTCTGTTTTGATGGAAATTGGTCATCTCTTCACCTATAAAAAGGCATATTATTCTATCGCTATTACTTGGAAGGCAAGAAGAGATTAACGCAATTTCATAAAATTAAACTGCATACATTGAAGTGTGCTTGAAGATTGAAGATGTACGATTAATGGAGATTCAAGAAATTCAAGATATGTACAGAAATAAAGATCGTTTGCTTGGGAACTCAGTTACTTATCTGTAAAAATCATCAAGTTTAAGATCTTGTAATTTATGTTGATGTAAATCAAACAATATTCACAATGTTACGTCAATGCGCAACTAATTGACTTCAGATATAAAGTCGTTAAGTGCTCAATTACTAGGGAGGTTTTCTGGATGTGTAAGACTGTGATGCCAACAGACTTCTTGAGATACTGATGATAATTAGCCAAGGCCAAAAACTAGTTTCCAAAGTATAAATGTTTGTTTTGAAGTGTGGCACTTTCTAAGTTGCAACTCACCACATTTTCTTTATTATCTGAGCCACATAGACTGTTGGATGAAGATCTAGGGCATGTTCGGTCGTGCTTAAAATTCAATTAAAATTGAAAATATAGTCGTCATTGGGTCCCACTCGTCTAATAAAAGTCAACAAAAATGACTAATTTTTTAATTTTAATTCGATTTTAATCTCTATCAAACATACACCTAATCAATGGTTTGCAAAGAGGGTATTAATAGACCCCTTGATTGCCCTATTTGGTCATATATCAATCGTGCCATTTGAGTTATTGGTTTTCTAGTTTTTTTTTACTACTCTCTTCGTGTTCATCTTCCAATCCTATAGTTGGAAGTTTGATTCTTCTGGTTCTCTTCTAGTTGGTCGAATTAAGGTCAGATGCTTGATTTTTTGTCAATAATGAATTTTTGGATGAAAATCATTGAGACATCCTTCTACCAGACATTTTTTGAAAGATATGGGACGTATCTGTTACGATTTAAAGCTTTAAGATCGCACTGGAACTCATTTTTAATTTTTTATTTTTGAAAGGAGTGAACCCAATTATTGCAATTGCACATGATACCATTTTTCAGTTTCTAGGGCCCAAAATCCCCTTTTTTTCTCTTAAAAATAGAATTTATTTTAAGCTAAATATATTCACACCACGATTTTTAATAATTAGACTATATTTTAATTGCATGAAAGATTCATAACATTTATATATTATTACATTTATGTCTTAAAATTTTTCATTATCACTCTTATTTTCAAATTAACATAAATTGTTCTTGAATATGTAATCTCCAAAATTTTCTTTTAAGATATAATAAAAAGACTCATTTGTCTATTGTATTTGCATAATAAACAATATTGCGAAAATGTGATCAAATGTTTGGCCCTCATTTTAAAGCATGTTAATAATATTTTTGAACTAAAACTATAATTAAGGATAAGATTTTCTGATCAATAAAATGTTAAAAATAAAAATGTGGTTAAGAAAAAAAAATTAAGAATATAAATGTAATAATAAATAAAGGTTAAGGACTTTTAATATAAATAAAATTCGATGTATTTATAAAAATTTCAAATTTGTGATGTGAAAATTTGTATTTAATCAGCTTATAGCTTAACACACACTTATAAGCAGAAATGAAAAACCAAAACAGATTCAAAAATAGAATGTGTAGATGTAAAAAAAATCAAAAAGGAACGAATAAAGTTGATATGAAACGCGGTCCAATGAGTAATCGGTTTGCTCTTCCGAATAATTTATTCAGTTTGGTTTTAGTTTGATTTATTTATTGTAAAATTTGTTGCGTTTACAAAATGTTATTAGTCTATTCTAAATATTCTTTTAGCATCAAATTCAACCTTCCGCTTAATTATCATGTTCTTATCCTCTCTTTTTTTTTTTCTATTAAATTCGCATAAAATGACGAATTCGCAAAGCACCACTGATATCAAAAGATCCACTGCTGTATACTACAAATTTCTGGCTCATCCACTTTTGTCAGTTGATAAACATCTAGCTCGGTCACACTTCATAGACCAATATTTCAAAACAACGATAAGTGCATGTCTAATAGAATTAAGGAGATGGAATTATGAGGGATAAGATTACAAAATTATCTACTATAGGGTTTGTAATAGAAAAACGTACAAGTACCATAAACTAAAATTTTTTGTTACAATATTTTTATTTATAAATAATTTTTCCTACTTATAAGAAATTTACTCACAAGGTAATTTATTATTTATAAATGAATTATTTTAGTTATAAGTATTTTTTTTTCCTTTTTCCTTACTAGTATATTCTCATTTTAAGTGATTTTTTTTATCTAAAAGTTATATGATTTTTCTAGTGTTTATAAGTAAATTTTTATTCGTAAGTTTTTTACTCGCAAGTGTTTTTACGATCAATTTATTATTATTATACTGAAGGTTTTTTACATAAATGATTTTTTTTTTACTTATTAAGTGAATCTCAATGTATAAATAATTTTTTAATTAAAAGTCATTTCTTTTAAGTGATTTAAGTTCTTCTTTACCTGTAAGGAAATTCACATCTTTCAATTCAACTAATCTTATTCCATAAAATGGTGAATATTAATTTCCGGCGACTGATTATAATAAATATCCTTGATTAATTTAATCAAACATTAGAGAAGATCCTTTTCCAAAATATACCTTATCTTTCTGCTTCGAACACGCTTTACAGGCCATGTTCACTCTTGATGGCAGCTTCTAACGAAGCACACACCTACTGCTTGGATCAACCCCAAATCCCCCAAAAGTATACTCCTCTTTGAGGTAATAATTGATACATTCTTCACTCCAACTATTAACAAAAACTTGAAATCATCATCAATGTTTAAAAGGCTCACACGCTGCCCAGTTCAGGGTCGATAATGGCAGTTTCCCTGAGCACGTCAACATGTAAGCTTCAATAGTCGAGGCAGAAGACTTGATAAAAGGGCGATCGAGATGTAAAGCTTCAAGCCATTTAATAAAAACCTCATCATGCCTCAAGCTACTTGGTAAAACAAATTTTCATAGATTCAAATATATAATGTTACAAAACCGTACTACACCCAGAGTATGGTTTCAGGTTCTGAGCTATCTACTATAAATAAGCGTGCTGACTGATAAAACGAGCTTCAAACCTAAGCACTGTCAGAACCATCTTCTGAATCTACATTTATGGTCTGTGGATTCTTGTAGTCACTGATCTGGTCAGTGTAGCGTTTCTTGTCTGCCCGAGCTTTTGCTTCGTGCGGCGCTTTCTCCTCAGCTGTAAAAATCAATTCAGGCCATGTCAGAGCTAAGCCATTGTACTATTAAACGCATATTCAAATTGTACCAACCTGTCATCTTATTCCATCTCTCTCCAAGAACTTTTCCCACGTCTGTGAATGAAATTCCAGGATTGCTCTTCTTCACATTCTGCATCCAAATGGGATGACGATTGGATTTAGCCATTTAGGTCAGGATAGTCAAAACCAAGGCATGGACATTTCGCATGGAAAAATAATGCAAACAAAAATGAGTATAAAATTATAAAGAATATAAGGTAATGGAGAATATAGCATCAGTTGTACATAGAGTTTACGTATTATTATTAGAAAATACAAACCTCTCTTTCAGCCTGCGAAAAGAACATAAAAGCACTGATTGCCCGTTTTGGAGCATTTGGATCCTTTTTCTTCTTCTGTTTCTTCTTCTTTGATCCATCCTCGTCCCCATCTTTAGCTTTCTTCTTGCTTGAAGATGCTTTGGGAGCAGAAGGTTCTTTCTTGGGTTTCTTTTTGGCAGGTACCTAAATTCACCATCCATTCATATGGGTTTAGTGTTAAAATATCAAATAGGAATAAAAAATTAAGCTGCTTTCTTTGTCTTTTTTCCTGGATTTAAAGAAGGGAGGGAGTGGTTATTTTACCTCTTCCTCATTTCCACTTTCACTGGCATCGGATTCTCCTTCCCCAGAGTCATCAGTAGGGGATCCACCATCATCTCTGTCAATAACAAAATCCTCATCCTGCAACATTTCCCATCAAAAGATGCCCCGTGAACGCATTACGTATACAATCAGATAACATGTAACAATTAAAGTGAAAATAAGAAGAGAGGAGCAATCATATTGAGAAAATACTATAAACAATACCTCCTCATCACTCTCATCCCCACCAGCTTCATTCTTAATCCGCTCAAGATGTGGGTCAACAGCATCGTCGTCCTCAGTCTGTAAAACAGCAGCAACCCCATCCGCAGTCTGAACACCTCCCAAATTCATGATCTTCAGACCTTTTGAACTGTAAGAACCAGTCAATACCATCAAATTTATGCTCCAGAGAGGAACTTCAATCTTTCTCAGAAAAATACAGAAAAGGCAAGAGCAGGCAAGAAGCGGGTACTGACTTGATGAAATCAAAAAGATTATGATACTCATTTCTCTGAATGTTCCGGAAAAAGTGCTCCTGTTCAGTCTTAAGTCTGATCAGAAGATCGAAGTAATGCATATTTGATCCTCCAGCAGCATGCCTCTCAAACTCCACATAGTCAATCTAAAGTAGAAACAAAAAGAATATGTATCTCAGACACTGTTTTTAATGAAATCAGAATTTAATAATACAGAAATCAATTATCGGGTGGAAACTTTACCTCCTCATGAAGAATAAGGGTAGGTGGTTTGGGTAGAAAGAAAAAGCTCTTTTCAAGTGGATAAAGGACTCCATCTTCAGCTTTCAACGATGATTTCACAGCATAACCATCCTGACTACTGCGGAACTTTCCTGGTCTAGTTACTTTGGCACCAGATAATCCACGTAGAATTGAAATAAATACCTCATGAATGAGCCCCTGATTTTCAAAGGAATTCCCATTAATGCATATGAACTAATACAGCCACCATTTAGTATTAGAGAAAGTTAGCAGACGATTACTTTATAGGTCAGATCAAGCTTGTCCTTATACTTGGTATTGTAAAGATCTTCACTCATTGATATGCTTGTGTCTACCACAGCATCAGTTTCAAACTGCAAAAACATGTATGAAAAACATATCAGAAAATAGTGATATTGCATCCTAAAAAAAATACAGTCGATGCCCAAAAACTTTGACAGCCATTAATACCTGCATCACAATATGTGGATACAACGTCTGACCCTTCCGAATTGGTGGGTCAAGAGTAACAACAACGAAAGTATGCGGTTGGTTAGACTACACAACGAAAGATAGTTACATATTAATCATAGGGAATAAATTAGGTATACCTACATACAAATAATTGCAAATGACTCTGATTTATTTACAGAAACCAAAAACAGATGATGTAAAAACCAAAGTTATCCACATATTTGTAATACTCGAGGATGGCTCAAGGGAGAACAAAAGTAGTAGAACCTTGGGCAAACAAAAAAGACGAACAACACTGCTGAACTGAATTTTGAAGTCATTTGCTTGCCCTTGGAGACGCAAAAATGAAAGATGAAGTTCAACACTGTAGCGACCCCTGTAGGAAAGAAATTACGGGAAGCATTTTAATATAATTCAAGTGACTGACTTGATTTTTAAGATATAATGACTAGATTTGGTGATCCACCTAGGAGTAAGTATAGCAATTCCATCAAAATTGACAACAGCTTCCTCGCCTCCAGCTCCAACATCTGCCATAGACACTATCTTATCTCGAAAGACCTTCACAGAAAGTGGTGGACATATTACCCCCAAAAGATTTTCACAGTTCCTGCCAAGAAATCCAGGTCAAGTAAAAAAGAGTTACCTGAGCAGCAGGACGATTTTCATCACCAAGAAATTGAGTGTTTGAATTGGGAACATGAAAACTTATCTCCATTAAAGAGTCTTTCTGTAGACAACAGAAGGACAAGTGAGTTTTTTATGAAGAAACAACAGAAGCTACATATAGTCAGCCTCAAAACTATGTCAAATGAAAGGATCAATAGGTTAAGTTTATACAGACATCAACAAATAATGACGTAACAAACACAAAGCATATAACCTCATTGGCCCCTGTTGTATCATCTACATGGAATTCCAACATGACATCATTTTTTCCTTGAAGTTGTGTTTGTGCAACATCCGCCAAAGATATCTCAAATGCTTGCTTAGTACCAACAAGAAACGTAAGCATGTTTCCTGAAGAAATAAGTTGGCATATTTCAATACAGACTATTCATATGTTGAAAACATATAAATGGATACAAGGTTCAAAATCAACTCCAACAAAACAAACAAAAAGAAAAACATGAACTATAGCCAGATGTCCCATAAAAAATAAAAAACTGGGGCGAACATGCTTGAGTGATATATATTTGAGTTTACAAGAACAGAAACACAAATTGCAGATAAATCGAGAAGTTATTCAGGTGTGTAATAGATAACCATCAGAAAACTATTTCACCAGAAAAAATAATGAACTTGAGGACACAGACAGATTGGAAAAATTAGGGAAAACAAAAGAAATCCTCTATGAGAGGAATCCACAAACCATTTAAATCTACTTCTCCCCAGTTTTTCCCACTAACAGAGAGCTGCTTCTCCTCTGGTGCTATCCCACAACTGGTCTGGAAAAATGTAGTCAGGCTGGAAACGTCCTGCTCGGCAAGGGGGAAAAATATGAATGGCATTTTGGAAGTCTAAATTGAAAAAATCAGAAGCTGACTACAACAAAAAGGTCAAAACAGTTCCTGAGAATATTTGTGTATACTGAATTAAATTGCACTGTTACAGTTGGCAATATTTCTTCTCATGGAGGCTCTTTCACTTGAGCGAATAATAAAGATAAGATTGAAAACCATGAGCAGTGTGGTCAGATTGTTATAAAATCGTACTGTTTCTCGGCCAAAACGGCACCACCAATTTATTTGCTTCTAGGAAGTTCAATCTAATAATGAGTTAGAATAACACTCATAACAGCTTCACAACCTAGAACCTATTCAAAAGCAAAACTGTAATTTTTGTGTAAATGCCCAAATGGTACTTGTAGATTCTTCAAATGGAAAAGAATACAATAAATGATAAGGGAAGGGAGAAGGATGTTGTCACCTGGTCCCGGAAACCAGTGAATTTGTAATAAAGACCATCCCTGGTCCGCACACCAAGCTGATTAGATCTGGGGACTTTCATCCAAGTAAGGCCAACTAGATCAGATTTATCAACTTCCACAGCCTTACCACCTCCTTGTTTCTTCCATACTATACCCCCTGAATGAACTCTAAGTTGCCCTGGGTTCTGCATTTATCAACATATACACATCTCCAAATTCAATTTGAAAACAAAGAATATAAATAAAGGAAAGACTTTTACGTTCATAAGAATCAGAGAAAATCTAAGGTTCAAGTACTCTAGAATTTTCACAAATTAAGCCTCTAACTGAAAAGAGGTACTGGAATCTAGTGGGAAACCCTTTCTCTATTCATTCTCAGCTTTACCTTCTAGCGATAATCTGTTAATCTCTAAACCTCATCTCAGCAGCCAAAAAGAAAATGATTTGAAATTCTGTAAATTTTTGCTAAACATTTGAGTTGATCTTGCAGTTTGAATTCTTCTATTATTCATACAATTCTCAATTTCTATCGCCCCAATCTACCAATCCACAAATCAAAGAAAAATAGAAACCCGATAAACTTCCTAAGTCAAGAAAATTTGTAAAACATCTAGAACATCCTTATTGAAAAGCAGAGGAGAAAATGAAATTTAAGAAAAATAGTCAACACCAAAACCCTAGATAAACATTAGAATAAAGATTGAAATGCATTAAAAAATAAATTACTTTCGATAAAACCTGGTAATAACTTTGGTTAGGGTTTCGAAACTATGAAAGCAAAATCAAAACAAACGAAAAAGAAAATAAGATGGAATTTTTTTTTGATATTCAAATAAATCTATAAACTCATTTCTGCTGAAAAATTATGTTCCTCTTGCAGTTCAAATTCTTCTATTATTCTTAGTATTCTCAAAATGTTACATTTTTTTAAAAAAAAGTCACAAATCAAAGAAAAAATTGAAACCCGATACGCATCCCTAAATCGAGAATAAAACCGGAATTAAGAAAAAAAATTAATTAATCCAGCTGAAACATGATAATGATTAGGGTTAGGGTTTCGAATACAAAAGCAGATAAAATCAAACAAACTAAAAAAGAAAATCAGCAGCAGAAAAAGTAATTTATATACGAATTAATGGAGAAAATGCTGTATCTAGGAGATCGGAAAAGTAGAAATCACTAACAGTGCCTCCGCGGCCTCCGAGAGAGATACTGTTGAACAAGTGACCATCCGCCATTGCGTGAGAACTAAATGTAAATTAGCGTAGGGTGGGAATGAGATTTATATAATGTGGCGCGAAAAGGATTTACGGACTTGCCACTGGGATCGGTGGAGGATTTATGGACAGTAGGGAGGTGATAGTGTGACGCCTCGCAATATTTGACGTGTAGGAATTTCACGTTCTAACGGAGCCGAATGATGTTTGTTAGGCGTTTTGCTAAAATAAAAAAAGTTGGACAATCGTACATATTCGGTAAAGATTAAAATCGGATTAAAATTAAAAAATTAGTCGTTATTGTTGATTTTTATTAGACGAGTGAGACCCAATAACGGTTATATTTTCAATTTTAATTGGATTTTAAATCATACCAAACATGCTTATAATTTGAAACTAAACGTGGTGTCAAAGCTTGTCGCCCGTGTATTTGGAAGGTTGAGCCCCATGGAGATCGAATGGGCAATTCGACACATGAGAAAGACCCGATGATTCCGATCCTTTCATGTAATTGGCTAGTACGATTAGCAGGTCCAGCTGGTTATTATGCCTAGACATGATGATCGGTCTACAACTTAAATCATGGAGCGAATTTTACTTCTATCGGCTCGTTAATCAACCCACTTGAATTACAAGTTGGTTCACATGTCATTTTTTCCAAGTCAATCCGAGGCGAGTCATGTCGGCCTTTGATACCACTTTTTGAAACTAGTAAGTGAATATTTTTATTTTCAACGACTTGAAAGATGTGCTTTTAAGAGAGACGAACAATGTTAAAGCATGTCAATTGTTTTACTCATGATATGATGATCATAACTGTTATATGTCTCATGATCGTATAAACAAAGTACGTTTGCATTAATGAAAAGGTATCACCATCTCTTAATTCTTAATCGGGAAGGACAGGTTCCCTAATGTCCTATATCATTGAATGCCTTGTGCCGTTTGTACACAACATCGAATGCTATATTGAATTTAAAATTTCAAGTCAAAATCAACAATTAATTTTAACCACACATTTCATGGGACCCACAACTTTTCAATCACACATTTCATCAACTTTTATCAAAATCTACTAAGAATCTGATTTTAATCTTTACCAAACATGAGCTTAATTTAGTATTATGAGATCGTGCTCTAAATTGTGGTACGTGTAATAAGAGAACATGCTTTTGTGAGTAGCCACAAATTTTGGATATTAATAGGTTAGGTTTTTGTTGAGAAATGTTCACCAAATCTAAGCATGCAAAACATGCTACAGAATAATAGTTTGGACTTCTAAGTTTCCACCAAATTGATGGGAAATGTTTATATCATACTTTGTTTAATATTCAAGTTTCCAAACAAATTGAAGTGCTTGCCTTATAATTTACTCTTTATGTAATAGATAGGGCTTACTGTATTTGGAGCTTGCTCGCTTTACTTTAACTGTATTCATGGATCGATTATGGTAGATTGGTAAAATACCTTGTATCGGTAACAAGCTTTATCTAATACAGGCAGTGAAGTTGGTGGCTGCAGGAACATCAATGAAAAGAAAAGCAATATATTCTCTTGCACTGGAGAAATTTGGGAAACAGCTTGAATCAGA